GTGGCTAGCTGGGGGGAGGGGAGAAGGCTGGGTGCGTGGGTGGCTGGCTAGCTGGGGGGCTAGCTAAAAACAAAAATATATAAAAACAGAAATAAATAAAAGGGAATAAACGAGCGGGAGAACTGAGAGAGACGAAGTGCAGAGGCAGAAGTAAACAAACACGCACACTCAAGCCTTGAAATGTTTTTATAAATATAAATATAAATATATAAATGTAAATACATAAATATATACATATATAAATATGAATATAAATATGTAGATATAAATATATAAATACAAATATATAAATGTAAATATAGATGTAAATATGTATATAAATACCCATATATATATGCACCAGTATCTGTACATATCTCTATTTATATATATATATCTATATATACATGTACATATAAATACATATATAAATATATAGATATATATATATATTATACGGATGTATGCAGATATATATGAGATAAAGTTAGGTCTAGATGTATCGGTACAGATATATAAATAGCCATATGTAGATATATACGTATACATATATATATGCATAAAAATATATATATATATCTATATAAATATATCTATTATATAAATATTATATATATACATGTATATATAAATATAAATGTATGTATATACATATGTGTCTCTATACATATATACATGCATATATAAACAGCGATAGACAGATATATACATATAAATATATATATGTGAATATGTATCTACATACACATATAAGCACATATATAGATATACATATGTGTGTATATTACAAATATATATATGCATAAATATATAAATATATACATATATGTATATATAAATAGCTATTTATAGACATATACATATATATATGCACAGCTATACAAAAGTATAGAAATATAGACATGTAGATATACAGGTGTGCACATCCCCACAACTTTATATAAATATTTGTTCATATAACTACAGATGTACTTCTATGAAGATATGTTGATATACATGATAGATATGTTCATATATTTCTATATATATATATATCTTTATATATATATATATATATATAAAGATAGATATATATATAGATATATATATAGAAATATATATACCTTTATATATATATATATATAAAGATACATAAATATGGTTTAAAGGTATGGAAAGGCAAGTGTAGGCAAAAGCATGCAGGCAAAGTTGGAGAAATAAAAGCGAGAAAAGAAATGCATTAAATAAAGATACTAAATTA